TCGACTGCTGTATAGAGCTGGTTTTATCTTCATTATCCAGGTGTGGATTGTTCTGCCTGTCAGAATTCTTTTTAAGCTCAGTTCTAGAGCAGACCCAACCAAACTGTCTATTTGTCCTGGCTTTCTCCACTGGTGTGTGTATTCCTGACACAGCACAGCCACTGTGTGATGGACTCAGGAGTGAGTCCCTCACACTGCTCTTGTGCAAATATTTAACAATTAGCTCATTTTGTAGTCCTTTGAAAAGTGCTGTGCGCATTCTCCACTCATGCATAATGTCAGGGGTTATAAGAGCCACTCCATCAGTATTTATGCAAATGCATTTTGTTTTACAGTAAAACTTTTCCCCAGAATATGATGTTACACTGTGTGCAGAATGAAAATACTGCAGTGACTCTTCTGCTGACTTGCAAGTGGTGGGAAAGGCTATTTTCTAACTCTTCTCTTGGTTTTGCATTCTGTGTTTTATCTCCAAGACCTCACCTCTCAGTTCTTCCTTGGGGCAGGCTCTGTAGCAACTTTATCACAGTTGCAGCTGTTTGAGTATGAAAGTAGGTTTGAATGTGTGTACTAATTTTTTTAATCCAGGAGGGAAAACATTTATACATTTTTGAAGTTAACAATTGTTAAATTGTTATATTCTTATAGAAACGGTTTTAAATCATTGAAATAACTTATTTTAATAAAAAATTGTTGATATCTCATGTTGACGTGAATGATGCCAGGTGCTTCTTTGTTTAAGCATTGCTCGTTGAATTTCGTGACTTTTGCCAGTCATTTGAAGCAGTGAGTTCTTACTGAAAAGTGATCTGCTGGTGTGGTATGGTGTGCTCTGCTAGAGGTTAGAAGAAGAGCATTTCTGTGGTTTTAAGATGAACTGACTCAGAGATTGTTTCAGTAGACATGGTTATTGTTGCACTTCCTCTGGCTCCAAACACACGAGGCAGAAGGAAAAGGTCAAAGATCGAGTTTAACTTGTGACTCCAAACCAACCTTTTTCAGTGAGAGGCAGATACAAACTCCAGCTCTAGTGAGAGTCAGATTTTTATGAGCTTGAACAATAAAATGTGAGCAAGGCAAAGATTAAATTTGTGGTAATTTGGAAGGACAGTAATATTGATGTTTACAAAAAAAATTTATCAGAACACTTTCTGCCTGTGAGGTTGCAGGGAGAACTACTGCTGGGTGGGTGCACTGTCTTTATGTGGTGATTTTTTTTAATTGTTGGGAGTCTTGGGAACAAATTTTTTTCTCATCTTTTGATCAGAATTACATGCTTATTGAACATGAATCCATATGAGGAGTCTGCAGCCGAATTCTTCTGGAAGGTCATTAAATCAGACAGAGTCTTTATTGCCTTAGTGAGTATTGGTATGCATGAGTTCTGGAGTCCAAAAAATTACTACATTTAGGTGTTTTGTTGCCTGTATTGTCACTTTTTTCTGCCCCAACAGATCTATACATTTCTCTGTTGAAAGCATTTTATTAGTTTTGCAGTTCTTTAACCTCAGAGAAGGTGTGAGCTGTGTACCAGCCATTATCTTTGAATTCTCCAGACCAGTTGGAAAACCTGAATGTGGTGTGGAAGCTGAATTGCAGTGGTTGAGGTCTGCTACAGTCATGTGTCAGCATTTTATTAACTGCAGTCCAACTAAGCTGGCTTTGTTCCAGACTGAAATTCCCTTTATAGCATGAGAAATAGAAGTTAAATATAATGAAAATTAACTTTCAGAATCAGTTCAGAGATTAATTTATCTTCTGATTCATAACAGTATTTATAAAGATGTTCAGCTATTAGTTTTAAAAGAATTTAAATTAAATTAAAAGCAGTTGAATTTGTTGCTAGTCTACATTTTTAGCTGTTACTCCAGCAAAACAGAGAATTGTGAGCTTGACTAAAATAAAGCAGTAGTTTCTCCAACACTTCTGTACTCCTTTAATTACAGATTCTTTACAACATGTGTAAATTATCAGCCTTCAGGACCCTTTTCTCTGAAGACCACATAGTAAATTATTACATATGCCACTATACTTTGGAAAGTATGTGGAAATCAGTAATAAATGGAAGCAAAGGGACATTTTGGTTGGGTCCCTTAGGAAAAGGACCTAGAAAAATCTGGTTTGATTAAGCATCTAAAATGAATATATTTAAATACATGTGAGAAGTATAAGTTTTCATGCATATCTTGCAAATTTGTACCTTGAAATGCTGTGTCTGAGGTTAAGTAGCTGACCAAGTATTCTTAAACTATTCACTTTAAACATCAGCATCATCCTTTATAGTGAGCCACCTAATTGTTCAGTAATTTTGAGGACTAAAATTGAATCTAGGCTATATTTTCATTCTGCTCTTCCAATTTTCAGGTTCATTTCTGGTAATTCAGTTTCAGGAAAACAGGTAAGATGAAAATTTGAAAAGGGATACAACACTTGAATTAATTACCCTAATTTACCCAGATATTCATGCATGAGGAGTAATGATAAAAAAAACAGGAACAAGAAGAGAGAATTGTAAAATACTTCAAATAGAGCAACTGTGACTGTCTTTACAGGGATGGAATTTTCAAGCAATTTTAGAGTATCTCTTTAAGTCACAGACTGCCTGTTTTCCTTTTGGAAAGAGTAAGTGTATCCTTCACCTCTGCTGTGGTCAGCACTTTGGTTTTTTTTAATAGATGGAGCTAATTGATGGGGAATTAATCAGTGCACTGATGATGGCTCGGGGTGTGTCCCCACATTAATCCCGTGTGCTGGAGCACACTCTTGGGCCATTAGGACAAAACAATTCCTCCTGCTCTCTTATCAGAGAGTTCTGGCCTTGACTCCAGGCAGATGAAAAGCTTCACGTGTTGAGCTCAGCTCCTGCAGGACTTCTGGTATTTGGGGTGTTGTGGGGTTATTTTTGTCTTGTTAGGAGCTGCTGCTGCTGCTGTACCTCAAAACCTGACCGGGGCTTGAACCTCAGCTGGTATTGACAGTGTGGATTTAGGATTCTTGGCTTAAAGACCCTTCCACAGATGATTTTCATAACCCCACCATTGAGATAATTATAAATAGCAGTAGCTGAGTTTTGCTGAAAGATTACAAATAGCAGAGAAAATTCCTCTGGGGCACAGGAGTTCAGTTCCCTATGTTAAAACCATTTTTAGAAGACTTGACATGAAATACCAATGCTGTTTCTGTGCAACAGGCTTGTGCAATTTCTTCTACATTTTGGTTTTGTCTTCTGCTGGCATTAGAATTTTGTAATCTATTTCTGATAACATTGTGTCAAAGCCAGAGAACTTAAAGGGGAAAAGAACAAAGTGGTTTCCACTTGAAAAAACAGAGCTGTTGGAAGGAGAGCATCGGCCCAGTGCTTTCATGAGGTCATGGATGTCTTTTTTCTGTTTTATTAAAAAGAAGATTTCTTCTTTCTGCAGATGATGTTGTATATTAATGACTCCTGGAGAGTGGCCCTTGTGCCATCAGTGCTCAGTTGGAGACACATAAGCTCTTTATAAGAGAGTGCAACACTCCTGCTACAGAAACAGCTTATTTGCTATTAGAGAGGGGAAAAAAAGTGAGTTCTCTCTTGAGCTGTCCCTCAAGCTAAGTATTAAATTTAATTTCTTTCATGGTGTACGTACTGGTAGGGGAGTGAGGGAGAAAAGTCAGATTTGAAGCATAAAAATACAAAAAGTTATCAATAGTGTGGGCTGGGGTTTTTTAAAGGTAAACTTATCAGGAAGAGAACAGTCAAAAAATAATGCTGTCTTTAGTCACCATGAGCTGTAAAAATCTGCATCTTCTAAGCAGGGGTGGCTGTGGATTTCTAGCTTGGTTCCTCTCTTAAGGCCTCTTGTTTTCTGAGAATCCTTTAACAGTGCAATGGAACTGCTCTTCTTCTTATTCTTTACTTCCCCATTTCAGTTGCAGCAGAGTTGAACAGAAGTATCTGGAAGTTACTATTAATTTAAGATCAGTGTAGCTTCAGCCATTAAAATGCAAAGACTAAAGTTTAAAGAGGAGCTTTAAATTCTTGAAGGATTCTGCTTTTATCAAGGGGTACAGAAGCTGCAATGCTGATGAGTTAAGGGAAAACAACTCTGTGTTTAAAATTTGAGGTGAAGTTTCTTAGTTTATGTATTAGATTGACAGATGGAATTGCATGGGACAGCTGTGACCTGTACTTTTAGTCTTATCTTCTAATCTTAAAATACCACAAAATTATGAGTTTCCTTGTAGCAAGTGTTTATCTTCCTATCACAAAGCTGAAATTCTATTTAGCTGGTGTCAGGTGTTAAAGAAATATTATTAAAGGCTAAAAGTGTTTTATAAATAGTGGAACGTGAATGCAATCACTCACCAAATGTCTTTGATGAATTATTTGTTTAACCATTCAATAATGCTGGGAAAAATCATAGGTTTTATTTATGAATGCACTTTCAGCTGGTTCATTCATTTTAAACAGGCATATTTTACTGTTAGAAAAATCTACAAATCTCTGGTGCTTCGAGCACTTTGTGGTAATTTAGATTAAGCATGGTGCATTTTCCAGAAATGTCATTAGATATCAGAGTTAACTCAGGAAAGCATACCAGAACGTATTCATGTAAAAACCTCATTTATTTATTGTCTAGCAGTTTATCAGTTAATCTTGGTTAGGCATATATACGTCCAAGCTGGGAAGCAGAACTGGGGTTTGGAATGTGATCAAAGAATAAATTTATTCTCCTCTGGATCATGTAACACAAACTCTTTAGGAATAAAGGGCAGGGATCAGGAGTAAAATCCCATCAGGGAGGAAGGGTCAGCCTAAGGACATTTGTTCCATTCACTGCATTGTGCTGTTGTACCTGAGAATAAAATGCTGTTTGCAGTAATACTGAGCTTCATCTTGTTAGTGATCTGATCAATTTCACTTTGAAGAGAATGAATATATTAAAAATTGCACCTTTTTACCCAGCAGTCCATTCCTTGGGGATAAAGCTGTTATTTACCTCAATCACACAAGTATGTATTTTTTTAAAAATCTTTTATTACCTCTCTGTCAAAACCAAGAGTAAGCAGAGCACAGAACTAAATTCTGTCCTCAGCATTTCATCTTTCAGAGTGAAAATGTTGCTGCAGATGGAAGCCAGGAGACCAGCACAGCAATCAGCAGCACAAGCAGTCCTCCATCCCTAACCAGGTGCATCATGGTGTAATTTCTTGGCTTTGGTCCACATCCCTGGGATCTAAACCACTCCACCACTTCATCCAGGCTGTACTGCTGGGGCTCATAGCCCAGCTCCTTCCTGGCCTTCTCCATGCTGAAGTAGTGTGTGACACCAGTTTTGTAAACCTCGGTGCGAGTGAGGAGAGGCTGGAAGTTATAAACATGCCCCACAAGAAAATGAACTATTTCAGTAAGGAATGCAAAGAAATAGACAAGGGAGAGGGGAAGGCGCAGGGTTGGGAACTTGTAACCCAGACCTTCCACTAGCGGTCGGAAAAATTCAAAGTTATTGACAGGCCTGCCATCAGAAATGAAATAGGCCTGGCCTGCAGCAATGTGCTGCTTGCTGGCTCTGAGGGCCTCGGAGGCAAGGACATGAGCCTGGACCAGGTTGTCCACATGTACAAACTCCACCAGACTCAGAGGGTCTCCATAGACAAATCTAAACAGTCCCCTTTCAATGTAGCTGACTATTCTTGGCAGGTGTCTCTGCTCCCCAGGCCCGTAGATCCCTGCTGGCCGGAGAGCACAGGTCCTCAGGACACCTCTCCCATTTCCCAGCTCAGCACCGTTGGCCTCCAGCACCTTCATTTCAGCCAAGGATTTTGTTCTGGAGTAGTGATCAGGGTGAAGGTGCAGAGGTAGATAAGGCAGAGACTCATCCCCATTTTCTATAATCTGGCCTCCAAATATCACATTGTAGGTACTTGTATAAACCAGGCTGGACACTCCCCTGCTTCTGCAGGCCTGGATGACATTTTCTGTTCCTTTCACGTTAACATCTTCTATAAGTTTTCGGTTCAGCTGCTCCCTGCCAGACATTCCATAGGAAGCGATATGAAACACGCAGATTACATCTCTGAGAGCTTCTTCCACTTCAGACAGGCAACAGATATCCCCCTGCATGAACTTCATTCCCTCTGGCATGGTTTGAAGTGGCTTCACCACATCAAAGAGGATCACATCGACTCCCTTTTGATATATGGCACAACCTAAACTGGAACATGACAGAAACCATACATTAGGGTACAACACCATGGTGCATGAAACATCTCACCTGGAAGGGAGAGAAGACTATTAACTGTTTTTATGCTGATTATTTTTCTGGTGGGAGTCTTTTAAATGCTCAGTCCCCCACTATAGGGAATATTCAGCTGTGATAGTTTAGGTACTGAACTGATTTCTCACATTCCATCAATACTTGGAGGAAAAAAAGAAAAAAGAGGCAGAACTGCTGTAAATGAAAATTCTGAAGAGATCAGCAACAGCAATTTTCAGATGTGCAACTATTGCCAAATATTTTTTTTTAAAAAGCTTTACTTTTATCTAACTTTAGTTAGATAAAGGCTTTAGTTTTATCTAACTGCTTTTGTGCCATCCCAGTTCTGGCAAAACAACAGGTTGGTCTTCGCCACTGTGTTTGAAATTTACAGAGGAGTGGGAGAGATGCTTCGAAGCTGCTGTGAATGCTTTACCACACCTCTACATTTTACTCCAAGTCACAAGTATTGCCACAAAGTGTAACTCTGGTGTTTCTCTTCCCCTTTCCTACATTTTTGTATCTCCATTGTGCTTTAGGGCATGAGAGTGGAGGGAGAAGCCAAGCAGAAGTCAGATAGGCATCTCCTGAGATCTTTTTTTTGCTTCCCCTGACTTGAAATTTACTTTATTTTCTGGTCCTGACTGTGATCTCTCTTCCTCTGTGAGCAGTTATAGTCTAGGGCTCAAAATAGGATTTTTTCTTTAAATGGGCTGCAGAGCCAGCTACAGCAAGGGAAAATGGATTTCACTGAAATACGCACCTTATTAACAACCCTAATCCTAAACCATCACTGCTCATGAAAATAATATATTCTTGAGAGTTCAGCTGGAGTTGTTAACCTATAGAGCTAAGCACATGTGTAACTATTTGCAGGTCAAAAGAAAACAAGTGTAGGCTTGTCCTTCAGAGCAGGCTGATGATGGTGATCCCACCCCTCTACAGAGGTGAGCACACAGGTAAATGTCTGCCAGGCAGCTGCTGCCTGACATTTGGAAAGGGGAAAACAGCGTTACTTACAGCCTCTGGAAACAGAGTAACTGAGGTTGTTTAAAACTGAGACCCCGGGTGGACCAGAAGATGGGAACACCTGCTTCAGGTGTCTCAGGCCCACAGGTCTCCCTTCTACAGATGGATTTTGCTGCCTCCCCAGCAGCAACCTCTTACATTTACTCCTGTATGTAATAACTATTTAATGCACTAACCGGAAGCCAAAATAACCCCCTCCTCCAGTAATGAGGACCCTTTCCTTGGCAGCGTTTCCTTCTTCCATCCTCTTTCCTTTCGCACCGTGTGCTGGAACTGACCTACAAAACACACCGCAAACACACCCATAAAAACCAGTCCGCGTTTTACCATCGCTGCACATTCCCGACCTTATTCAACGCTCTCGTTCACGCTTTAATTCCGGCCCTTCCCCGGGGAGCAGGAGGCGATTCAGGGCCGGGATGGCTCCCAAGGGAGGGAGGCTGTTCCCGCTGAGGGAGCGCTGCGGTGGGGCCGTGCCAGCCCCGGGCCCCCCGTACCTGCGGCGCTGCCGGCCCGGCCCGTCCCTGCCGATTCCCGGGGCGGTGCCGATCCCGATCCCGATCCCGGGAAATGGAGCCGGGCGGGGCGGGGGCGGCCCGAGATGGCGGCGGGAGCTGGGCCTCTGCTGCCGTCAGCCTGTGCTGGTGTGGATTTCTGTGCCGGGCCGCTGATGCTGCTGCCCTCCCCTCGCAGCCTGAGGCGCTCTGGGATGGGGGCTCTGTGCTGAAATCAGAGCCTGTCCCGGCCCGATGTTTGTACCGCAACACCCGGGATCGATCCGGGCTGGAGCAGCCGTGGGAGAAGAGCTCGGGGGTGTTGGTGGCTCGGAGCTGGACCTGCCCCCGGTCCTGATCCCCCCGTACCCTGGGCTGAACCCCCCATTCCCCGGCCCTGAACTCCCGCGCCCTGGGCTGATTCCCCCCCCATTCCCTTGCTCTAAACCCCCGTGCCCCGGGCTGATCCCCCCATTCCCTGGCCCTGATCCCCCCATTCCTCGGCCCTGATCCCCCCATGCCCCGGCCCTGATCCCCCATGCCCCGGCCCTGATCCCCCCATTCCCCGGCCCTGATCCCCTGTTCCCTGGGCTGATCTCCCCGTGTGGGCAGCAGGGAAGGAGGGGATTCTGCCCCTCTGCCCTGCTCAGATGAGACCCCACCTGCAGAGCTGCCTCCAGCTGGGAGAACTGGGATTGTTCATCCTGGAAAAAAGAAGGCTCTAGGGTGATCTAGCTGTGGTCTTCCAGTAGCTGAAGGGAGCTCAGAGGAAGGATGGGGCAGGGCTGTTTGCAATATATGTAGTGACAGGACAAGGAGGAATGGCTTCAGAGTGAAAGAGTAGGGTTAGATCAGGTATTAGGAAGACATTCTTCCCTCTGAGGGTGGTGAGGCCCTGGCACAGGTTGCCCAGAGAAGTTGTGGCTGCCACATCCCTGGCCTTGGAGCAACCTGGTCTAGTGGAAGATATCCTGCCCATGGCATGGGGCTGGAACTACATGATCCTCAAGGTCCCTTCCAACCCAAACCATCCTGTGATTCTCTCAGGAGGTGCCTGCAAGTGTCATCCCAGGTGTGAAGCTCTGCAGAGGTCTGAGACACTTAAGAGGGGCTGAGGAGCCCTTGACTCTGGGTAATTTGGGTGGACACAGGAGTTTCCGGACTTGCTGCTGAACATTTCTTCATGGGAAGGGCTGTTAAGCATTGGAATGGGCTGCCCGGGGAAGTGCTGGAGTCACCAGCCCTGGAGGTGTTCCAGAAATCACTGGACATGTCAGTGCTGTGGTTTAGTTGATGAGGTGGTGTTGGGTCAAAGGTTGGACTTGATGGTCCTGGAGGTCTTTTCCAGCCTTAGTGAGTCTGTGATTCCCTGGTGCTGTGGAGGTACCACAGCTGAATGTCCCACCATGTCTGGGAGAGCTGTGCCCTCCCAGCATCTCCCTGGATGAAAGTGGCTGTCCCACATCCTGCTGTGTTTGTCATGAGCCTGAACCATGGAGCACACTCACAGCAGTCTGCTGGGCCCTGTGCAGAGGATGAGATGTTTTTGGCAGTGGGAAAACCCTGCCCAGCACTGCCTGGCTGCAGCAGAACTGCTCCTGAGTTCACATCAGCAGTCCCAGCTGTCTGTGAGAGAGAGCTGTAATAGGAAAACAATGAAGAATTACAGGATCAAAGTCTGGCTTGTATTCCATTGTATTCCATTTTTCATTTGCAGAACTGAGCCACTTGGGGAATGCCAGAGAGTGGATTCAGTGTCAAAGCTACTTAAAACTCTGCAAAACTCCTTTCTGTTTTGCAAAACCTTGACAGAAGTAGATGCAGTAGGCTCTGTTGTATTTTTGATGGATGGCTGGCAAGAGTTAGAACTAAGCAGATTCTAAGAATTCTGCAAGAACTAAAGGTTTTTTTTTTTTTTTTTTTTTCTTTAGCAATGATTTCTTGCTGGTGAGCCTCTGGGACTCTTAAATAGAAATTTCAAGATGGAGCTGGTGCTGTACCTGGTTATACAGAGCTGCTGCACCTGTGGAGATGTGCAGAGGGTCTGGTGTGGAGGCGATCCCCCAGTCATAGCTGATTTCCCTGTCTCCTGTCTATAGCAGGAGAGTGGGTTTGAAACAGCCTTGAGGCATCCCCTAATCCAGACACATAATCAATGGTGTGTTCACAGAGGTATAAGAATTCTAGCTCACAAGAAGAAAAATCCCTTACTTATTCCTAAATATTAGATGTAAGGATTCTGTATGGCTGCACATGCCTTCAGGATTTATGCATAATCTTGATGAAGGTTTTGAGAATATTTTCCCAAGTGTTTAATCACCTGCAAAGTCCAAAAGAGTCCTGAACTTTCCCTGAGATCTGTGGACACAAAGTTTTTTTTTTACCTTTGAGGAGACTTACTGAGATTAGGGCACTTGGTGGTTCTCTTTTGATTAAAGAAATTGTGTTTGAATGGAATTTTGAAGGATCACAGAATATCTGAGGCTGGAAGGATATTGCCCTGTTGAACCCCTGCACAAAGCATTTCCAGCCAGAGGGGTTCCATGGGTTTGTGCTGGCATTGAATATCTCCAAGGATGGAAACTCCATGTTCAGCCACTTTCTCCTCACAACTCCCAGAGCTTTGTGCTCTCAGAGCAGTGGCCTCACCCTCTGTGTTTGTGAGTAAATCCCTCTGTTTGAACAGGCAGCTGTTCACCTCAGGATGACGTCTGTCCCCTGGACTTTGTGGTGTCCAATTTGCAGGACTGAGACCCCTCTCTGCACTTTCTGCTTTATTTTGCTCTCTGTTTGTCATCTACAGAGAGTGAATTGGGACAGGGTATCTCAGAATTATGGGTATTGTGACTATAATGAGGCTGTGGTTTAGATACTGTAAAGATGTTGTTCTTAAGCCACTATCAGTTTTATTTCTCATTATAGTGAGCTGTCCTTTTTTGGCTTCTGAGAATAGTGAGGAAGATTCATTCCTTCAAAATGATGACATCTGTGAAAGCTGTGGGTAAATATTGTCCTCCTTTGACACTGACAGATCTGGTGTTAAGACATGGCACTCTCAGACCTCAGTTTTGCACAACCCATTTATTACTGGTTTTTCATTTCCTGTGAGACTCTGCTTTTCCTAAGGTTTAATGGACTTTCAGAATGTATCATAAGTTCTGTTTTGCTATCAAATGAATGGACTTCCAGTTTTATTTTATACATAATACTGAGATTGTGTCCTTCTTTAAAAAAACATGTAAACCCTTCCCTTTAAAGGTCCAGGCTTTTGGAGCATGCCTTGCATGTATCTCAGCATGCAGGGAATGAGACTACTTGAAGAGATTGCATTGATACCTTGAATTGCACGTTAGGGCAAAATGTGTCAGGATAGAAGGATTTGCAGTGTAACTGGGAATTATCTGCAGTGAACCTGAAATGGGCTGCAGAGGAATCCTTAAATCAGCTAAATAAGCAGCTGCTGTAAACAGTGCAAGTTAGAAAGAATAAGCAATGAAATAATTAATTATTCTTTCATAGTATGATAGTTAATCTGGTTCTCTTTGCAACTTAAAATACTTTGCTAGTAAAATTATTTTTGTCATCAAAATACAAAGTGTGCCAGCAGTACTACTTCAGGAAGCAGGGCAATATTTCATCTGGGAAAATAAACCTTAGCTTACTGTTTTCTTACTATTTGATGGATTTCTTTTAGGTATTACTTAATTGTGATTTTTTTTTTATTGAACAATGCAATGAGAGAAGAGAACAAGATTTAAAACTAGGTAGAACCAACCATGCTTATTAAAACACATAAAACCAATTGGTTAAAGTAGTACTGAAGAGGTGAAAACAGAGCATACATTGTGAGGGAAATGAGAATTGTAATATTCAAAATTAGAATCAAACATTCAGTCTAGATGAGACTGGAATATGTTTCAAGGGGGGAAAGTGTTCTGGATAAAAATGCTGGTCTGAGTTTTCATCTTGGCTCTGGCAGGGGTTTCCTTAGTGACCTTCAGAGTATTGATTTGTGTTCTGTGACAAAGGTGTCATTGAACTTTCTCCCTGCCTGAGGTTATGGTTGTGCTGGTTTCATTTGTGTTTCTGATGCTCAGATGGGAGCTGCTGTAGAAATAAACCAGGAAATCAGATTTATGAAGCTCAAAGAGCTCAGAGAAGTGTCCAAGTAACACCCTTTGAAAATGTCAGCACTGACTTCTTAGGGCAGCTGTTGACTGTACAGTGTTGCTTGTGGAAGTGTCATACATCTGGTGCTGTGGAGATGACCATCCAAAGTGCTTCTAGTTGCTTTTTCATGTGAGTTCCAGTAATGGAAAAACTATTTTTTCCACACTGAGAAAGGAAGATTTCAGGATTAATTGTATTTTCTGCTTAGTAAACACCATTCACTGAATTGCTCATCCAAGCAGTTGCTTTATATAATTTTCCTAATCTAATTCTGCTTTAGGAGATACGACTTTATAAACATTTTAGTCCTGACTAGAAGGAGGTGCAAGCAGTAGTGGATTCCTTATCAAAGTGAGAATTCACAAAATGGAAAGAAGCCTCTACTCAAAGGTCTTGGAAAGGGTCAGACTGTTTGCAGAGTATTTTGAGATCCTTGGATGAAGGAAGATTTTTATGTTTGTTATGTAATACTTTCTGTACTGTCAAAAAATAAACTCTATTTTATTTGAGTTTTGGGATCATCTTGAGTGTGGATGTGGATTTTGGGGCGCATGTTAACTCGTAGCTAACAAGTTCCTTTTCATCCATGTCCAGAAGCATGATCCAGTGAAGAACCATGGAGGGAGGAGGATGTGATGCTGTCCCTGCTCATTTGCTTGAGGCAGCTCTGCTCAAGGCTGTGCAGGAGGGAACCTTCCATCCCCCTTTGCCCAGGAGCAGCTGGGAGTGGGGGTGTAGGAGGGTGCAGTCAGCTTTCAGAAAGGACAAACTGCTCAAACTTTGGCTGTTTCACCCCAAAAGAGCAGGTTGGGCAGAAATACCAAGCAGCTGCCAGTCAAACCAACTACTTTCGGTGTCTGGTGGTTCCTTTTGCAGTTCCATACTCAGATAACACCTGAGTATGTGCCCTGAGAGAGGGGGCTGTTGTAGCACTGATGGCATTAATGTCACTGTTGAATTTGATGTCAGGGCTTAGTTCCAGTGAAGCATTTCACACAGCACATGTGCCCTGTGTGGTATAAATAACAGGCTGGCACAGGGCACAACAACTTAGGCTCAGTGGTCATGCCTTGGTTAACTTGGATTTTCTGGGTGGGTTGCACTGTGGTCATCCTCACTGAGTTAGGTATGAAAAAATCATTACTATAAAAGACACTGAAAATGCTTTGAATTCTCTTGGTGAAGGTTCTTAGGGAACAAGCTTGATTCTGAGGTGTCCTTTCAGCAGTAGGAAGTGATGCATACATTCTGTGGAGCCATCAGAAATTAACTTCTTTTCCATTCTGCAATGCTTTGAAAAATGTAGATTATCCCATTTCCAAAAGTAGCAGTTATTTATCCTAAAGGGAAGGGAAGAAAGTTTGCATCTTTTGGGATAAGTGCATGGTTGAGCACAGGACTGTGCTCTCCCTTTTTACTTTGATGACAAGTTGCTGTTTGTGGTGTCTGTGTCTCTTTGTGTACCCTGCTGGGCACATCAATAACCCAGTTCTTAGAATGAGCATATATATTAATCTTCATAACCTCCATGGA